CACACACACACACACACACACACACACACCGACTAACAGCAGCAAAATGGCAAGCGAAAATAAGCGCTTTCAAATGAATTTTGTGGGAATCCATGCACGGCCCTCGACTCGAGTAATCGAGTAAAGGGGGGCCACGAGGGCAGCACAAACTCGCACCCGGCGCTGTAAAACACCGACACACGCAAATATAAACACGACCTATGAATAGTAGGTGCCACTCACTGACCCCGTAAAAGCCACCGAGGATAAATCTCCTCGCGTGGACGAGTTCATAAAATTTTACACTGGATGTTTAGCTGCAATCAGCACTCGTGAGTCCCACTTCAATGCTCACATGGGTTCGCTCACTCACTCGCTCTCTCCAAATATGCCAGCATGCTTTTTGTGGGGGCACTAACGTTTTATACACTGCGTCGTAAAATATGAAAGGCGCGCTCGGCGAATTTATAGACCTTTCACACTCTATAAATATGCAGAGCGCCAATCACTGCGAAGAACGCTCATGCGCCTGCCTGAGGCGCGCGCACAAACGCACGCACACGCACACACACACACACACACACACAAATGAATACAAACGATCAGGTCGTTATTATAATTTTTATGATTAGGATGGTGATTATTACTTGTGGTTGCAGTTGTGGTAATATTGTAATTCTGATCATTAAGCGAGTTACCTGAGGGCATTTTTGTTCGAAGCAGATTTTTAGTATTAAAGTCAGATTCATGATTTTCCCGTCGTTATGAGCATTATTATGGTCACTATTTCACGATGTTAAAATGTTTGTAAAGATAACATCATTTGCTGAAGAAAAAGGAAACTCATTCAAATACAGGGCGATGGTTATCAGCCAAAGAGCGCTCGAAAGACCGTTGAGATGATTCGATAATTCCTTTTGTAACCAGCACAAACATATTAGTTTGATTTAAATTATGACATTCTATCAATCTATATATCTATATATCTATCTTTGTATCTATATATATCTATATCTATATCTATCTATCTATCTATCTATCTATCTATCTATCTATCTATCTACTAT